GGTGAGGAGCGAGAGATAGAGAATATAAGCGCGCGCACATACACACACATCAATCGATCGGAATACGATGGATCCGAGAATTGTAGAATGAACCGGGTCTGTATATTTTCACATTCGAATAGGTAAAAGTATGTTTATGTGTACACGAACGTACAGTCGAGGTGGACAGACCGTTGATTTCAATCAAGTGAGCGAATAAACAGCGCACCATCGCACACACGCTCGCACGCACGCACGCACGCGGGCACCAAAATGTGTACATGTAATGAATGAATGCGCTGATAGTCAATACCTTTACATGACATGTGAAGCACACTGGAATACAGAAAACACTTTTCTCACAATAATATTGATGACCATATCATTATGACTGAAACCCCTGTTGGAATCAGCTCCGATATCCGAAGGTTTGTTTGGATTGCATTTTCGGTTATCACTAGTCATCGCTTAATCACTCGTCGTGTCTCTTCATATCCCTTGAATTTTCATAAATGCTTTTCGCCAAAAAAAGGTTAGAGAAATTTCAGGGAAATTAATTACAAAATGATTTAATTGATGCTCATCCGTGTTGCAACGGATCAGCAGTATTGTACAGACCTTGTCTCCAAGCCGAACAAACTCTGCGGTTGTCAGCTAATAATATAGACCCCGTGTCATATGCTACGTACAGCATATGATAGCAGGGGGATTGACGTGGTATTCAGCAAATTTGCGGCTGAACAAGGTTAGGAAGCATCTAATGAAAACTAGTTCTGAACTGTTCTGTTCCTGTCCGACGTCATTTTCTCTCATGGAAACTTCACGGGTCTGAATTCCTGTTGTTCTAAGCACCCAAAAAACCGCCAAGTAGACCCCCACTTTCACTTTTACTAAGTGGCATTCATAAATTACACTAAAGTTAGGTGCACGTGCAATTGGTTTTCCCGGACACCGAAAATAGTCCAGTTGCCAAGAAACTTGATCATGTAGATCTCGAAACCATCTTGAACAATGCCAAACTCTACTGAAAGAACAATATTCCGCACATGTGGCATGTCTGTGCAACAACTGTTTGACAGGATTATGTAGCCGGTTGATTCAACTTTAATCTTTTACAACCTTGGAGGCACAAATACTCGACAGTTTGATTTCGGTACGATTTTGCTTCCCAGCC